CATGACTAGCAGTCAAAAGGAATGTCCCAAATATCTACTTGTCAATATTTGTTTTTTTTTGTTTGTTTGTTTTTCTCCGGTACCGGGAACTGAACTCACGACCTTGTGCTTGCCAGGCAGGCGCTTTTGCCGCTGAGCTAAATCCCCAGCCCCTCTGCTTGTCAATATTAATAGAGTTAACAAACAATTACTATAAAAACTAAGTGGGTGAATAACAAGTTCAGCATGATTGCATTTTTTGGTTTTTGTTTGTTTGTTTTCTTGAGACAGGGTCACACTATGTATTCAAGGCTAGCCTTGGGTTCACTGTGCAGTCCAGGCTGGCCTCTTGAATTCAGGGTGATCTTTCAGCCTCACCCTCCTAAGTGCTGGAATTATAGATGTCTACACTATACCTGGCTCTATATTTAAAAAAAAATGCAGAGAAGACACTTTTCCCCAGTGGGTACAAGTATATGTATGCAAAACTGTTTTCTATCTGAAAGAACAGTGTGAAGTGGGACCACGCCTCATCTACCTCTCTTCCGTCAGGGCCACCCAATGTAGCACAGAGACGACTATGTGCTGTGTGGCTGGCAGTGCCTGGTGACTAGTGAGGCTCTGCTTTTGGTGAGGCAGACTCTCTTCTTGGCTTGCAGACTGTCCTTGCTATGGCCTCACATGAAAGAGAAAAGGTGGGTTCTGGTCTCTTCCTCTTCTTTTTTTTTTTAATTTTAAAGAAAATAGTTAAAAAAAAGAACAATAGCAAAATACAAATGAAACAAAACAAGGAAATTAAAAATGATACAGGGTTTCAAACCAAATGATAGGGATTAACAGTGGTTGTTATATTATATATTGTTATCTTCAATGAAGTTGCTCAGATTACCAGATGTAAGAATGGAAGATTGATCAAACAATTAAAGAGAATAAGAAAATAATAATGAAAGAAACATTAGAGACAATACAGAGTTTCAGTAGACGGGATGGTAGGAATTCACCAATGCTTGTTATGTTGCATAATGTTGTCTTCACATAAATTGCTCAGATTATCAGATATAAGCATGCAAAATTGGTCAAAATCTATAAAAAAAATTTAAGCATTAACGGTTCCTTTCAATAAACCACCAGACATCAGCAGTACAGTTATCCCAGCTACATTTCTATATACATGCATATATATGTGTGTGTGTATATATATATATATATATATATTGCCTTAGTACTTTCTTTTTCTTCTTTCCCTCATCTCAGTTGTTCCTTCCTTTGCACAATTTCTTTCCCTTTCATATTATCTAGTGCACATTTTGGGTTTTATTTGCTCTTTCAGGTTCCTACACTAGGGAGACAATATCTTCCTCTTCTTATAAACAGGACACTACTTCCACCAAAGAAGTCTCACCTAACAACCTCATCTCAACCAATCACACCCCAAACTCCTCGCCTCTAAATAACATCACATTGGAAGTGAAGGCTTCAATGTATGAATTTGTATGTGGACAGAAGTATTCCATCCACAACTTTTTGAAGCTGGCACTAAAACTTCATATCCTCTAGAACACAAAATATACTCACTCCATTCCAATAACCCCCAACGTTTTAACTTGTTCTAGCACTAACTCTAAAGTCTGAAGCCTCACCTAGATATCATCTAAACCAGATATGGGTGAGATGCCAGTTATAATTCTGTCCTGAGGCAAATTGCTCCCCAGCTATGAACCTAGGGAACTATAAAAGTTATGAGCTTCTAAAGTACCATAGAGGAACAAGGATAAGAGAGATATTCCCTCCCAAGAGGGGGAGATTGGAAGGAGGAAAGGGATGATGGATTGAAAGTAAATCCCAAACTCAGCAAAGCAAATAACATTACACTTTAAGACTAATCGTCTTTGGTTGGATGCTTCTGAAGCTCTGCTGGGTGGTCCTATGTCTGCAGATGTTCAGGACAGATGCTGGCCTGCTGAAACTGAAGCGATGTCCCTCTCCCGAGCTCTCCCATGAACTGGGGACGCAGCCCCGATGCTCTCTGAATCACAAGTGACGGGAATGAGATGAGGTCCATGAGTGCATGCTTACTGCTGCTGAATAGCCCTGTGGTTCAGTCCTGGAGGGTCTTAGAAGTCCACATTCTGTCTTCATTTTGAACTGTCTCCAGCACCCTTTGTCCAAATTGGCAGTGTTTCTGTTGGGGTGGCTAATTAGTTCACGCCTGCACCAATCTTATCAAATGGTTGTTTGCTACACCCTCTCAGTTCTCTTCTGAACTTTTTTTTATGTTTTTGTAATATGAGCAGGCTAGAATTTTCCAAATCTTTAAATTCTGATTTCTTTATTGCTTAATAATCCTTTAACTCACCTACTCTAAGAAGAACCTAGCCTCTCCTTTAACATTTTGCTTAGAAATCTCCACTAAATATCCAATTGCATCACTTGTAAGTTCTACTTTCCACAAAACACTAGAATACAACAAATTCTCCTTTATAACAAGGATTGCTTTTTTTCTCCTTTGCCAATAACATGCTCCTCTTTCCTGTGAGACCTCGTCAGAATTGCACTTAGCATCCATATTCCTGGCATGTACCTCAAAACTCCAATCTCTTCCCCCTGCCCACTTCCAAAGCTTCTCCCACAGGGTTCTGTACTTCCTAGAGTGGTACCCCACTCTTCAGTACCAATTTTTGTCTTACCTAGGGCTACCATAACAAAATAGGCTGGGTGGCTTAAACAATAGGTATTTATTTCTTACAGCTTTGGAGACTGGGCAGAGCAAGTTCAAGGTGCCAGCAGATTCATTTTTTTAGTGAGGATTCTCTTCCTAGTTTGCTAAACTGTGATTTTTGTGTTCTCACAGGTCTCTCCTCTTCCTCTTCCTTCCTTTATTTATTTATTTATTTATTTATTTATCAGTACTGTGGATTGAATCCAGGGTCTCCACCCTGAGTTATATCCTTAGATTCTTTTTTATATTTTTATTTTGAGACAGGGTCTTACTAAGTCTGTGTCTGTATTTCTGGGCATTCTTCAATACAGACTTAAGTGCAAATTAGGCATATCAGACTTCCTAGAACAAAGCTTTGGACAGAGGCTGAGTAGCCAGAGAAAGAAGGCAGCTAGTAGGAGGAAGGATGCCCTCTCTACACCCTTAAGGCTGGCCTACAACACAGGCCACATCCAGGCAAGTACACATGCATCCAACGTCCTTGAAGGGGCGGCTCCTGCCTGCACTCACTAAGTGCTAGAGACTCAGAGTGGAGAGAGAGTGCTTATCCTCTTAGTGTTTACAGCTGTGCAGGAGACAACGGGTGATTGCAAACTTTGATTTTTCATCAGATTTTGTACAGGCTGTTCTGTCTGGGACACCCTACATTCCCCCTGTCCCATTGGGTTGCTCCTACCAATTTGTTAAATCCCAGGAGGTATAGCTCCTTTTGGCAGTTGGTTCTGGTTTCACAAGTCTAGGTTCTGAGCTGAGCACTCCTAAGAGCCTGGCACTTGTGTTTGCTTGTCAGTACTCCCAAGACAGCCTAAGCTTCTTGAGGATAAAACTGTGAACCATGGTATCCCCAGTACCCACTGTGGCCCACTTCCTGCAGGGAGAAGGTGCAAGAAATCCCAGGGATGGCTGGCCCCTGGAAGATTGATGAGTGGAAACAATTAACGGGGCTTGGAAAACAATAGAAAAGTTCACTGCAGACCCAGACATTTGCCTGCTGGACCAACAACCAGCTACTTATTGCTCCATGGCTGCCAGAGGAACATGTCTGCTATGGCTTGTATCCAGCTGTCCTCACAAAGCCTTACACACTTATATGTGGGGCTTTAGGGAGGCGGTTGGATCATGGGGGCGTGACACTCACCAGTGGATTAGCCCACAATGAGTTTATAGCTAAATGTGATGTTGGGAGGTGAACCCTGGTTAGAGAAGGTGTGTCCCTGGGGGCGTGGCCTGGAAGGTTCTATCTCCCTCCCCTGCTTCCTTGATCTCTCTCTGCCATGCCTCATGGACATGCTGTCCTGCCTTAGCGCCAACCATTTATAGACAGAAACTTCTGCAAACTGTGAGCCAAAATAAACTTTTCCTCCTTTAAGTTGTGGGTGTCAGGTATTGCGTCTTAGTTGTGAAAATGTATCTAGGCCAACACCTCATCTCACTCTCACTGGGATTTGCAGACTCTAGCCAGAGGAGTGGAAAGGCAGAGTTTGAACCCTGCTTTTACCACTGACTACCGGGCAACCTTGTGCAAGTAACACAGCCTTTCCCTGCTTTAGTTTTGTCATGAAACAAGGAGTAACACTCATTTTACAACGTTGTCTGGATGATAAAGACTGAACACCTGTGAAGGCATACACACTTAATGCACCCTGGCCTTTACCACAGGTCCTTCCCTCTTGCATGGCCCTGCCCTGGTCCTCTCTAAACTTCAGCTGACTGTAAAATGGAAACTGTGAAGTGGAAATAATAATAATCATAATGATTAAATGAGAAAGTAAAACTGCATCACTAATCATTTTGTGCCCCTGGGAGTTTGTGGGATAGGCATTACTTCCAGACAGGCAGTAGCTTCTGGAACTGGCCCACCCACAGCGATCTGCCCAGTGCATTGTGCAGATCTTATCTTGCGCCAGCACCAACCCAGTCCTGCAGGACCCTTTCTGGACCCGGCTGCTGCGGGTTCCTCTGAATGGTCACAGAGGCCTGCAGGACGCCTGACGACACAGAGAGAGCACGCACGGGTAGAGAGGTGCCCACACCGGGCTCGTGTGCCGTTGGGGGCTGCAATTTGCTTATTCCAGGAAAAAGAACTTTAAAGCGTCGTAAAGGAGGCGTCCACTGAGGAGGGAGCGGGTTATCACCGGGCTGGCTTCCAGGTCTGATAACTGCGAAGCCGGGAGCCACGGTCTCCACTGGCTTGAGGCCGCGCCCAGCCCAGCCCGGCCCGGCAGGCCCGCCGCGCCCCCAGAGGTGCCCCTGCTGCCCGGCGACCCCCGCCCCGCCCCACCCCTCCCCAACCCTAGCTTACTCTGCAGACAGCGGGCCGCGGCCAGGCACAGCGCGAGGAGCCCCAGGGAGAAGCCGCGGTTCTCCCCGCCCCGCGCGGCGGAGGCCTCCTGAGCGCGTCCCGGGCGGTGGGGGCCCCGCATGGACTCCCGGCGCTGCAGCTGCGCAGGTTCCCCAGGCCAGCTGCGGATGAGTGGGCTGCACTCTGGTTGAACCAGTTCCTAAGAAGGGAGGGAGGAAAGAAGGAAGGGGTGAGGGGCAGAGAGAGAGAGACAGAGAGAGAGAGAGGATCCAGGAAGGCATGGGAGGAATGAGAAAGCACACTCATAGTGGCAAATAGTGAGCAGCCTCCGGACGTTCACACCCACTTTACTGCTATTGATTCAGCGATCAGCTGGATGCCGGGTGGCAGGAGGGAGGGCCGAGTCCTAGCTTGGCTAAGGATGGAAGGGACCGTCTGACGGCTCCGTGGAAGGAAAGCCTCTTAAGGAAGTGAAATGACAGCCTGTGGTGAGGGAGACGGAAGGAAGACTCAGGCTGCCCAGGGAGGAGCCACTGGACAATGGCAGGACCCCCATCCATCCAGGAAGTGTCACTGCGCAGTGCTTACGGCCATCAGACGTGGCTCATGTGGTCCGCACAATCAGACCACATGTGGCCCGCACAATTAGACCGTGGAATGAAGAAAGGTCCTGTGCTTGGTGCCAGAGTACAAGCTAGCACAGTCCCTTCTTTAGACATTGTAGCAAAGAGCGGGTCGGGAAAGCCAGCACCTGCTGTGCAGTTTGTACACTGCGTACGACAAAGGAGACGAGGGAGACATGGGGTTCAGAGCAAGAGTAACCTGGAGGAGGGGTGCACATAAGTGAGAGGAGTAGGTGAAGTTCTATTGCACTTGGTCAGCATTGGACTTCCTAGCCTCCCCTGCAGCTACAGGGAAGCAAAATGACCCAGTGCTGCTGGCCAGTGATGTTTAAGGTGAAGCTTTCTTGGGGTGTTTCTGGAAAAGATTTTGTTTTCCTGATAAAATTTGGGGGACAGATAAGGCTGGGACCCTTCTTCCTTTCTTCTTGCCTTGAATACATCCTTTCTCAGGGCTGTTGACAGCCTCATATAAAGGCTCTGTGCCATTAGTTCAAAATTAGGAGGTATCCAGATTTGCAGAAGCCAGGCTTTCTGGGAAGGAAGCAAACTGTTATTTTGTAGTAGGATGCCTGAGATCACAGCCTGGATCTTGTTCGGAGACAGCTTTCATTCCCTGGGTATAAGAGTGTATCCCAAGTATTGGACTTTCTGAAGGGATAGCTGAGCTCTTTCCTTTAAGACTTTATATCCATTCTTAGCTATAAAACTGAGAGTTTAGATAGCTCCTAAACTGAGCTGCAGATTAGAATATAATCTACATATTTAGGATAGTTCCCTGTTTAAACTCTAGGTTCCTTAAATCATTTTCCAATGCCTGAGCAAAAAGGGGAGGCCCAGCTCTAAAGCCGGGTGGGAGGACTGACCCAGTATATATTATTGCTCTTCATGGGATTTTCCACTGAAAGGGAAACAGGAACTGGGAATTTAGGCAGAGAAGACTAGAAAAGATCAGCTTTGAGGTGTAAGACTGAGCACCAATTCTGGAATTTAGGAGATTTATAACGATCTGCCACCAGAGGGCGTGTTGGGGATTACAGCCCTGTTAATGAGGTGGAGGGTTTGTACCATTCTGTATTTTCCTGAGGGTTTTATTACAGAGAGAAAAGGAATATTGCAAAGGGTCTGTCAAGGCCCCATAAGGCCACACTTGAGAAACCTGTCGATGAGAGGTTGGAGGCTGTTACAGGCCTTTTTTTTTTATATATTGCTTTTGATAGGGAAATTGGCTGGGATCTTCTAGATTTATTGCTGGTATTGCTAAATTTGCCCTCCCAGGTATTCCATAATATCATGCAGCAGAATCTACCTGTTGGGTAATTAGATCAGGAAGGTCTGGCATGGACTCAACAGGCAATATCCACTTTGGCCTTTACTAGAATTGGAGAATTGCCCCTAATTTTGCTAGTGAATCTCTTCCTAATAAAAGAGTAGGATACAGTGGGAAAATAAAAAACTCATAGTTGAACATTTGACCTTTGAACTGACATATCAGAGCGGTGTAAAGAAGCTCTGACTAGGTTCCAATTAGAGCTATCGATCTAGAGGAGGATTTTCCAGAGAAGGAAGTTAAAGCAGAGTAAGCCATTCCTGTATGGACAGGCAATTGAATTTGCTTACCCATGATGTTTAGGGTCACCTGGGGTTCTTTCTCAGGAATGGAGATGTCTGTGGACAGGAACACTGCAGATTGCCCAGGGCCCTTCAGTCCTTTTCACCAGAGCGTGAGGTGAGGGTTTGGTTTTGGCTGGTCCAACCCTCTCTGGGAATGGAGACAGTCATCCCTCCAGCGCCATGAGTCAGGCACATCAGTTACTAGACATGGAGCAGGGCCTGGGTTTTGGCTTGGTGTAGTCATGTGGCCAGTGGCCAGCTTCTGTGCACTTAAAGTAGAAACTCTTTCCCTGGTTGGCCTGGGGTTTTCACTTGGATAACTTGGGTGTGCTTAAAGCATTGCTAACTGCAGCAGCCGTAAATTTGTCCTGTCTTTTTATTGAGGGGCTCTTTTTCTTTCATCCTCATCTAGATCCTGATTGTCAAACACAGAATAGCTGTGTCCTTCAACTAGACCATAGAGGTATGGAAGTCCATCTGAAGTTTTTGTAAGTTGTACCAAATACCTGGGGCTGATTGACTAATGAAGTGCTGTTCCATCAGCCTGTCCCGCTCTGGAAGATGGATATAGGTTTGGGTATGTATGGAAAGCTTTTACGAAGTGGCTGTGAAAGATAGCTAAATTTATTTTGCTCTGTCTAAACTTCCTCACTCATAACACCCCCATGATAAGAGCAGTTATCATTTTAGACCTTATGTCTAGTACACTGCTAGTATTATAGTCCCAGTTTGGCTCCAGGGTGATTTCCTTCTCTTGCTTAAGCATATTATTCATCTGTATATCTCCTACCCTCTTTAAGGATTCTTTGTTTTTCATCTGGGATAGAGTAAGTGGGCAAGATAAGTTGGACATCTCACCACAAGAGGTCAAAAGCAAGGGCCAAAGTCTGAAACCCTTCTGCATAACTACCAGGGTCTTCTGAAAATCAGCCTAACCATTCTTTGCATTGTTGGTTTTCTGCTACCGAAAAAGGACCCTGGACTCAAGTACAGCAATCCTACAGCAATTCCCTCTGCTCCTGGGACCTCTTTTAAGGGCCGGATGAGCTGTGAGTTGGAAGAGTAAGGAGCTCCACTCTGAGTATGTTCCATGGAGTTAAGAGCTATCTGTGGAGCATAAGTAGGGGCTGGGGGATACTGTGTCTCTCTGGGGAACTAGGTTCTGGTGGAGTTCCTGAGTCACTTAAAGAGAATGGGGCTGATTTATTGGCCTGAGGATTGTAGGAGGAGTTTGAGGAGACCACCTAGGGTAATTGTTTTCATTAAACAACTGGGAGAGACTCATATACCCCCGAGAGGCAAGTTGGCATCTAAGGACAGGATCATCAATGAATCAATTTCTTCTTCCTTGGAATGCTCTTTAAGTGCCATAGTTCTTGGCCCTTTCTAGAGAGATAAAGAGCCATAAAAGCCTGAACACTAGGAATTTTGCACTATTTTCCTTGCTTTTGGCAAAAAAGATCTAACTAAAGAATAATACTGTAATTTAAACTGCCACTCCTTATTCATCTCTCCCTATTTCTTAGTTCATGTTGGACCCAAATAGTACTGCAGTAGATGATAAGTTGGTCTTTTTTTCATATTGTCAGGCTCAAATTTTCCACAGCTTTTAAGGATACAGCCTAATGGTGAGGTTTCTGGGATCTGCAGGGTGTTCCCCGTGGCACACTGTGGAGCCTATGGAGAGAGAGAGAGAAAGAGAGAGAGACAGAGACAGAGATGGAGACAGAGAGAGACAGTCAGTCTGGGTTCTTCAGAGATTGTCTTGTGCAGAAGGATGCAGACCTGCTGAGTGTCCAGTGCACCCCTGTGGGACTCAAGTGCAACACCAGAATTTTCTGGTGCGTTGAGCAGTACTGTTCCCTTTCCTTAGACCTCGCCACAGTCTGTGACACATGATAACTCCTTAGGACCAGGATGACCCCCAGGGCCCCCTCTAGCCACTTGAGAAACACTGTCCACCCCATTTATCCCAATAATAAAAACTTTGGTAATTACTTGGTTTAAGGCAGTAGAGATTGAAACTTCTTTTTCAGTATTTAAGAGAAAAAAGGAAGAAACCTAGAAAGTTCTAAGGATAGAGTTTGTTATCTATTAACTCCAGCTCTACTTTTACATACTCACAGCCCATTGCCTTGACCTTTACTGGTTGTTCCCTTTGTTCCATTCAAGCTCTCAGGCACACGTTTCTAAATTACTTGACTTTCTGTTACAAGAAATAGGGAGGGGATCTAACTTGATTTAGAAGAGAAGAGGACATATATCCCATATGTTCTGTGAAAGTGAAGGATTTAGTTCTTATCTACAAGGCCAAAATTCCTGATTGTCCATGAGGTCAGTTGAAAAAGAACATGGTGAATAAACATGGTGAAACCATGTGACTGACCCACATGATGAACCAAAATGGCTGACACAAATGGGGAAAATATGGACCAGGGTGGCTCCTGGGGTCTTAAGAAAGGGCCTTGAGAAAGCGAGTCACTGAGGATACCTAGAGAGAAAGGACTACCTAGGGGAAAATTGCAGATGAGATTCTGAGCACAAAAAGTGCAAGCTTAGACAAACAGCTATTCAAGCAGGCTCTTAAAAGAGTGAGAAACTTGAACAAAGTATTGGGGATAAAAAAAAATGTGGGGGCACAAAGGAATACTAAATTGTAGGTTACATACTTGGGGCCTGAATGGTCAGCCCTTAACCCACGTGACCATCAGGACACATGTCTACAGGACACAGCTCCCCTACCCGGGTCTTAGCATGAACCCACTGCAGCAAGGTATGGCCAGAAGCAAGTGAGGTCTGGGGCCCAACTCCTAGAGGTATGGTGCAGTGGCACAGTGACCCCACTGCTGACTTGAACATGTCCCATGCCCAAGTGGCAGGACACTCTAGGAAAATGTTCCAGAGAAATGAGAAAAGTGTCTGAGTCTCCAGATTCCATTAATTTTTTTCACCCCTATACAGAACTACTTACCTCCTGGGTGGTCTTGACAAGAAATATATTTCTGGGTTCTGGGGAGCTGTGGGTTCTTCCAAGGGATTCTTTTCAGGATCTTGTTATCCTGAACAAAGAATTGGACCAGA